GGACAGTGTAAGATATGACAAAATAATAATTTATAAATTATCAAGGGTTCATAAGGGAGCGGGAGCAGGGAGGGAGGGGAAAAAGTGAGGAGCTGATGCCAAGGGCTTAAGTGGAGAGGAAATGTTTTGAGAATTACGAGGGTAACGAATGTACAAATGTGCTTCATACAATGGATGGATGTCTGAATTGTGATAAGAGCTGTATGAGTCCCCAATAAAATGATAAAAACAAAAAATAAAATATGAAAATAAACACCAAAGTAATGCCACGACATACAAGTTAAGACTTCCACTTACTGCTTTGATACAAAGCAACAGTTTCTCAACCTATGGGTCGAGACCCCTTTGGGGCTCAAATGACCCTTTCACAGTGGTCGCCCGATTCTTCACAGTAGCAACAAGACAGTGATGAAGTAGCAACGAAAATAATGTTATGGTTGGGGGTCACCACCACATGAGGCCCTGTATTAAAGCGTTGCGGCGTTAGGAAGGTTGAGAACCACTGGTACAGAGTCTTATACGTTGTCACTCCCAACCTCACGAGAAACATCTGAACATACTTGCACGGGGAAGCGAGTCTTTTAGGCTCTTTCAGCCCCAAGGCTCTAACTTCCACCTAAGGACCTTTCCCTGCATGGGTCTGGGAAGAAGGTGGCGGATACGGACAGGATCCACCTGAGAGTAATTGCAAACAGGATTTCCAGGAGTGGCACCCTGCTGTGTAGTAAAGGAGCCCTAAGAAGTGTCCTCTGCACCCAGGATGCTTGGGTGGAGAACCTCTTAGATGCCGATACCATCTGGAGAGCAGCAACAGAGCTCGGAGCCAGAGCGTGGGGCACAGTGGGAGATTCCCAACCCGCAGAGCAAGGAGAGGACTTTCATGCAGGAGGCTGGCTTGTGGAGTGGCGTGCCTGTGGGCGCTTAGTTGGGGAAGTTGGACCTGCAGAGCCGTAGAAGAAAGAGCTGAGTGCCTTCCGGCTGAGGCTGACCGGCAAGGGGTTCCTGATTCAGAAGCTGGTTTGCTGACTCACGGCGCTTGAGCTGAATGCACGGCAGTGAGGGTTTACAGCAAAGCGGTGTGCATGCCTCTGTGGGCACTGTTTAGCGGACCTCACTTTGGCAGTTCGTCCCAGCACAGCAGTCATAAGCATTTCTTACCAGCACAGCACAGTCGTAAGCATTTCTTACCAGCACAGCACAGTCGTAAGCATTTCTTACCAGCATTACAGCCTGTGAACATCCCTAAGAAGCCCTTTCACTCAGGAGTTTGCTCGGAGTTTCTGTGTCACCATCACAATGGACTACTAGACACTAGGAAGGTAAACAATACGCACTAATTAAGTCGTGCAAGCACTGAGCTCAGGAAATTGGTGACAGGACAAACTGCTGAGCCCTAACTGCAACAAGGACACAAAAGCAGCCACAGCAGTGAGTCTCCACCTTTCTAACATCACAACCCTTTCATACAGCGCCTCATGTGGTGGTGACCTCAACCACAAAGTTATTTTCGTTGCTACTTCATCACTGTCATTTTGCTACTGTGATGAATCAGGCGACCCCTGTGAAAGGGTCGTTCAACGCCCAAAGGGGTCAAGACCCCCGGGTTGAGAACCGATGAGCTACAGAGAATTATCCCAGAGCAAAAGCCGAGGGCTGAAACCAACCTCTGGGTCCAGCATAGGGAAAGCTGGTAGTGCAGTGGTTCACACACCGGGCTACTAATACAAAGGCCAGCAGTTCAAACCCCCCTGCCCCTTGGCAAGAGAGAGAATTAAGCTATCTCCGGCTACACAGATGTCAAAGCCTGGAATCCCACAGAGGCATCTCTGCTCGGCTAGAGGGTCAGGATGAGTCAGAATGGACTTGCTCTTTATGCACGTTTTCGAGGTTTACAGGCTACGTCTGCTCATTACAAAATAAATGCAAAATCAGTCTTCTGTGTAGTTCACAAAGGGGGGGTTTAAAGGTTTTACATTCCTAGGCTTCTACGTAAAAGGTGGTTTCAGATGGTTACTTGCCCCTGGTCATTTAGAGGAAGCTGGGGAAAGGGCTTGCGGTGCACGAGGGCAAGAACAGGAGGAAGTCTTCAGATCCACCCACTGAGTGCAAGAACGGAGTTCTCCGTAAGACTCACCATGTCCCGTGTCTTGGGGGTGGGCGGGAATGCGGTCTCTAAGCCCAGGAAGCCGCTTCAGGATGAGGGATGAGAGTACGGGTAGAGCACTGGGCAGTCTGCAGGTGAGTGCATCCTGTGTGATCCAGCACTCAGAAGAGTTGAAGTCTTTCCTTGGGGTTTACGGACGTGCAGTTGGTCGTGGCTGCCAGCCCGGAGTGGACTCGTTCTCCTGCATCACTGGTGAGCCCTGCACAGAAAGGAAGGTAAGGAGGTGGGGCTGAGGAAGAACGCAGCAGCCTGCTGTCGGCTTCTTTCCAGGCTCACGGCGTTGCTGCCCCCTGAAAGATGTTTGCTACAGGTGGGAGCAGCGTCAGCATGCACCCTGCGTTCTCAAACAGCTCAGCGGCCTCTTCTTTCCGGCAATGAGATCCCGGACGAAGGGATTTACCTTTCCCACCGCAGGAGAAGCCACCAGGCCTGATGAGGCCGGAAGATGGAACCCAACTTCCTGCAGAAAGCCTGGGGTCTAATATCAAACTTGTGAGTTCATGAATCAAGCCGAACTGCTATGGGGGACTAAACGAGGGAATGTTCAGGAAGAACGGACTTTTCATAACATGTCTATGGGCTCCTTGTGGTTCGTTTTCCGGTCCAGCTAAAATCCTTGTTATTGTGTGCTTATTCTTTGCATCGTGTACGCCGGTGATATGTGATCGGTAATGTTCCTGCTGCTTTTGGAATGCATACGCTTTCTTGCCCTTTCCCGAGTGACCGCTGGTAACGCAATGAAATGCTGACACCACTGAATCTGAACCTGTGAAGTGTCCAGGTGAGGGGGTCCCCAACACTCGAACGGGTCCTCAGGAGTGACTTTGGGATTGTGGAAAATATTAAAGACAAACAGACAAACAGACAGCAGGGCACAGGGGGCTCCTCATCCCAAGTCAAGACTAAGAATGTATTTTCCAATGGGTGGATATAGGGGGGCTTACAGATCGTACATAAGGCATGCAGGTAACATAATAAACAAGTAATGAGGTGAGTCCACATCTTGACCTAGTGCTAGTTGACCTCAAAACCCCCTGAGCCCTCCCCCAGGGGAGTCATCTCTGATCGGTATCAGCAAGAGATGTTAATACTGTTTGGGCCGGTCCGGACCGAGCAGCCCCCACCTCCTCTCTGGCTGCTCAGGAAGATGAGACCTCAAAGCCCCGGGAGGATGGATGACTTACTGAACTGTTCAACTCCTGCCCCAGCACCCAAAGAGCTTATCTCTCCAGGTCGGGTTTACGTAGCCCTTCCCCAGCACCCCAGGAATCAATCTATCTTCCCAGGTTGGTCTGTAGAGCCCCTTTCCCAGCGCTCCAGAGAGCAGGTTTGCAAACAAGATGACATCCCACGGGTCGCATCCTGACTCAAGGCCCTGCAGCTGCAAGCAGTAAAAATCTCCCTTCCTTCTGTCAACGTCTACTTCCTTAGCTCGAGCCCTATACATCTCCCACCGCCTCACCGACAAGCTGCGATTTCCCTGACCCGGCTCGTTGGGTTGCGGAACTCGCCCTGGAGTTTTCCCTCGCCTTAATGAAGCCTCTCTATACTCCTCATTCCCGACTAAGCCTTATCTCCTTCTGCGCCTCAGTCTCCACGCTCTCAAATACAGAGTCTGCTCCATTTGACGGTGGGTGGGCTATAGAACCCGATTGCTTTTATCTACAGATAACCTTTAGGCATGGTGAAGTAGCCAGACGCAGAAATGATTCATCTTTCATGGTACCTCCTTTATGACAGTGCCTTCCTGGGGGTTATTGGAAGGACTGTGTCCAGTCCTGAGAATGTAGATGAAGATTGACTTATATCTTATCACTGAGAGTCTTCCCCCACCGGAGTCGGCTTTCTAGACCCGTCGTCGTTATGAGCACGGACGGTCTAGCTGCACGACCTGCCCATCCAGTCCCTCAGCTGACCACAGTAAAGACGCCGGAAAGGATGCCCACATGCTTGGTTTTCCCACCTTCCCACAAATCTTCCATCACGCAAACGCTTCAGAAAAGCAAGTTCCTCTAAAGAGCCATCTCCCTCTTCCACGGCCGCCTCTCTCTGTCCCTCCTCCTCTCCAAACTGGGGTTTGTCCTTTCCCGTCCTGGTCTCGGTGTGGACGTTCTACCTCACAATCTTTACAGCAGCGTGTGCCCCTGTCGGATTATCCTTTTATTATTTCCACTGGTTTTCATTCCCATCCGTATCATTATTTCCAACACAAAGCAGGAATGGTAAAAACAACAACAACAAAACCAGGAATGGTTTCAGTGTGTAGCATCCCAAATCCCACCCCAGAATGGTTACATCAGAATCTGAACCGAAGCAAGGCCCCGTCCCAGGGTAATCCACGTGGACACTTATGCGTGAGAAGCACTCACTGATCCACAGCCCTGAATGCAAATACATGTAAATGAAGCCACTTCACTCTCTCTTCCTAAACGACTACCAACCCCTGTGCCAAGGCCACCTCCCAGTCTCCTGAACTGGCTCCTAACACGATCCAGCCTGAGGGTGTTCAACCACGGTTATTAGCAGCCGAAAAACACCCATTAGCAGCACTGGGATGGCTTCACGAACATCACGTTTTTCTGTCTCCAAAACGTCCCCAGAGCTGGCACGACTTTAAAAGACCTGATGCCATCGCTCCCTGCCCCCCTACCCCCCTGTTGTGGCGCCCACGACCCCACGCACCCACATTCCTCTGCTTCAACCATCTCTCCCATCAAAGAGTGAATTATCTATTTCTGAGCTGCCCGGGAGAGTAGCACACTCATGTTTTCCCAACTGAAATGCCCTCTCTCACCCCAC